GACGAGATCAGGCCGCGTTGTGGTTTTTGCTTTTCGCGGATCTCATGAATGCCGAATGCGGTGGAAACCCGTGTCGACACGGGTTCCTCTTTTTTGCCGATTTTTGGATCGATGGGCTTCCGTCTGGGGCGGTCGCTCCGAGGTCGAGTCGACAGGCCACCTTCGGTTCCTCTGGGTGACTTGGACAGTTTCTCGCGGTGAAGACTTTCGAGTTTCCATTCAGATCGGCGGGAGAGATTCGAGCGGTCGAGGTGATCGATCATTCATATGCTATGGTCGTCCCTTGCTTCATGAGTTTTGATGCACCTCGTCCAAATTTTAATGCGTTCTAAATACAAAAGTTTTACGAGCACAAATTGCGTCTATTGTACTATTCACACCGTGATTTAAAAAATGGCCATAATAAAAATGGACTCACGTGATGTGATACCGGTGGGAGCTCGCTCACGGTGGCCTAAAATTCCTGTTCCTACGATTCTCACCAATTCCCGAAATCCTCGTTCGGCGGCGAATCGAGTGGCGAGCGGGCCAGTGCCAAAGACCTCGTCCTCTTTCTTTCAGGGGGAACTTCCTGGAGAAGCACGCGAACGAGCAGCTGAAGCCGTGTCGGTTACACCCGGAGGACGATCCTTATTGTCCGATCTTCACGCTCGGGACCATCATCCAAGAGGCTGGAATCTCCAACTTCAGTGATATTGCCGTCTCGGTATGATCGTGGGAGGCCTCCCTGCCTTTTTTCGACAGATTCCCATCAAGGAAATATCGTAATGAACCTAACGAGTCGTTGGGTCTCATCCATGAGGGTTTGAGACTAAAACCTATGATATTGAATTAAATACATCTTGATTAATGATTTTTTTTTCCCAAACGACTTTGTGTCGTGTCAGGGCGGAGTGATAGCCATAGAGATTTTGTGGAACTGCGACCTAGAACGGGACTTCCAAAAGCACTGCCTCCCCAAGTACGAATTCCGGCGAATCGACGACCCCGAGGTCGTCGTGGAACCCGGCTGAAGCTTCCAGTGAGTCTCGCGCTTCCGTCCTCCGGCGCGGGCGATGCTCGGTCCCCTCAACACGGTTCGGGTCGCCCTTAGGTACGCGCAGTACGACAACGACTTCAGTCGCTCGCTCTTCAAGGTCGTCGGGATCAAGTTCGTGGTGAACGTGCGGGGGGAGGCACGGAAGATCAGCATTTCCACCATCCTCCTCAATATCGGCTCCAGTTTTGGGATCTTCAAAATAGTCAGTGATGTTCCCTAGATTGTTCCTCGGACTCAATCTCAAGATATTTTTTTGTTTTCCATTTTCCTCTGGTAATTTCCCTCATGCATTAACGGTTCAATTTGCTGCAGACTTGAAAATGTTTCTGATTGGTCTCAATTGAAAAATGCTCAAAGAATCGGAAATTCAAAGAGACGTACAAAATGTTAAGTTCCTTTTGGAATTTAATATATGTTTTTGGACAATGACCAAAGCACTCACTCAGAGTGGAAACGGTGAATCTATATCCATTCAGGTTGGGGGTTATTTGCGCATAATTAGATATTCGGCACCCTTCTCAGTTAGGAAGTCAGTGGTAGATCTGTTACGAATATTAAGACCTTTTGGAGTTACGCTCAGTCCACAAGCATCCAGATGGCAGACCTCTCCGGGCCCACATTGTTAGTGGGGGAGCGTGGGCCAACGTCGCAATGTAGGCCCGAATCGGCCCTAGAGCGGCAGGCAACATTTGTCAGCCACTCGGGGTGTCTTACCTGACGAGCCCCTCCATAGCGGGAAAAGGACCTGTCGAAGGATCAAATGGGGTTTTACTCGCAATGCGAAATGTGGTCTCACTCGCGCGTGGGAAGTGAATGCCAAAAATAGAGACAAATCGAGAGAGACTCGACAAGGTTCCTGGAGGGGTATCAGTCATTCACTAAATGCGTACCTTCATTACGCTAAATATAAGCCTTCTCTAGGCCCCTTCTAAGCGCCTGAAAGTCGTGTTGCATATGAGCGTTCGATGTTATCCTCTGTGGACTTTCAAAATTGACTAACGTGGGATCACTGAAGAGGTCTCGCCAGTACCAGCCCGATGGGATTAATATCGACCACCAAGAAATATACATTATGGCCCAGTCTTGGCACTCATCCTGGACAATTATGTTGATTACTACCGGAGCCGATATCGGCGCGGTATTGACGCTGTTATTTGCTCTAAATTCATTACCTCGCGGAGGTAAGCCTCTGGTGGAAATATTTCTGTCTGCAGTACTAATACTGCATGTACTAGAGTAACAACCTTCTCATGCACATTAGTGTGGACCTTTCCCCGCAAGTACTGGACATTTCATATTTCAGAGGTTAATCGACCCCTTCATGTTCTAAACAGTGTCCGCAAATTGTTAATTCCCTTCTCCCGGAGACAGAATATTCATTCCACCCTCAGGTTGTGGAATCAATGAACAGCTTTGCGCAGGCACGATAAATGTACTGGATCTTCTGCCGCATTTAAGGAACATACTATCGTAAATGGTTCTCATAGGGAATACGAGCATGTTTAAGGTCTGAGTCCCATGCTGCTGTTTCGAAAATGGTATAACAAAATGATGAAGGGTCCTTGTTTATTGATTCCTATGATGAGACTAGGCGAAGCATATGGCAAGGTACTAAACCCAAGACGAAGCCAACGTAATATTAGACGGAATTTTGCCCAAGACATAGCCAACGTGCCTAATGTTGGTCTTGCATTGAGCCAATATCTAGTGGTACAGGGGTATGAGAAGCATTGGGCCGATTTTTGCCTTTCGGCCCATATGCTTAAACTCATTACCTGTTCATGCAGTAATGCTTTTGGCATTTCGATTCACAGTAACGGAGTCGGTTCTAATCCCCAGCCAATGCACAGTACGTTGTCTGTACCTTAGATAGGTCGGAGATACAGAACAGTTCAGGAGTTTTTCTTTTCATAAATGAATTAATTATAGTACACTCGAAGGAAAGGTCCACCCCATAACCTTCTATGGAGTTACCACGAAAACAGTCCCTAATTTCTTCATTTTGCCCTCAGAATCAGTATTAAAAAAAAAAGTCAATCGAGAACGCTGACACTAACAGTGTTCTGAAAACTTATTTCGAAGTGGAACTCGTTATGATCTGGCCTCCACGGATATGTCGTCAGGGAGTTGCAAATGAACACTATCAGCGTTTCTTGATTCCCGTAAGGAGACGAGACGAGACACGGCGAGGTGCAAAATACTCCTGTGCTGGACAATTTCAGGGACAGAGGGAAAGGCAATTTTATGCGATATGAGAAAAGTGAGACCCAGAAAATCATCTTGTTTCCTGGAGAACTTGACAATTTCCCAAAACTTTCGAGTGCAACGTGGGCACATTGGATGAGAGAGCGTGATCAGTTCCCATAGATGGTAGCCCGCATAATCTACCGATGATCGTCACGGTATATTCCATAGTGGAAACAAAAATACTAGTAAAAATTATAGTTATAAATTGTAAACTTATAAACAATGATAGTAATTCATGTAAATAGCTCATATTTGTGGGATATTGAGACTAAGTATTTCCTGATTTATTTTTGGAATGCAGGCGAAGGCTCTATGCGACCGATTGGCGAAATTCAACAGCGGTACCACCAGGGTCAAGATGATCGATCCTAAACGTCAATACCAGGTACCCTGCATCACTCACGTTGATCTCATCCTGCCTCTTCGGGGACAGGGTCCTGGGCAGTATCCGCTGAGTCCGTCGTTATTATGCTGCTGTGCTGATTCGGGATATTGCTTGCGGTAGGGCCCATGCTTTTCTCTGTTCCTCTTGATTCTTGAGGCTAATGGCAGGTCGGTACATTTTTTGTGCAAGACTTTCCATTAGAGAAAACACTTGCAAAAACGTGAAATTAGGATATTTTGGCGGAATGTGTATATACGCACCACCAAAAGATCACCATTACCATCTGAATAGGAAAATGCGAAGAAATTTTAATTTACGTATCAATCAAATGAAAGTAGCTTCATTTCGGAAGTTTCCCACTAACAGCCTAACACCCCTGCGAAGAAAAAATCCTAAATCGTCCTCTTGTGAGCAAGATTCCAACCGAATCGTCTTCGAGATGGTGCTTATCCAAAGAGAATGCTTAATTGATTCACAATTTCAACGTCAATGTGGGCTGAAATTTAGGTGGAAGAAGATGAGAATTTTGCTCGACGCGAGCCAAAAAGATGAGCGAATTTTGATGAGTGAATTTAGGAAAAAATTCGATCCGACAATTGGCCTCATATCAATCCTCGACACTCGCACCGAACTCCGAAAATATTCTGAAAGACCTAGCCTTGATCACATTTCTTTACCTGAACGAATACAAACTCCGAAGGTATTGAAGCCATCGTGATGGCTGCCCCGGCCGAATTCCATTCTTCCTCATCGACTCCGGCGGGGGAGCATGACGTCGGGGAGGGGTTCAATCGCGTGAGAGCCCAGCGGCCACCTGCGACTTGTGCAAAAATGGACAAAGGAATCTGCGTTATTTACCTTTCCAAAGTATTGTTCCAAATTCGATCATTCGTCTCCAAGTCATAACTAATATTCTACTGGAATTCGGACGTTTAAGACGGACTGCACACACGAACTCCTTGTCCACGGCGGCGCAACATTGGCGTTTCGAATGTTGCAACACCATCAGGAGCCAGTTTCACCCTCTTTGAGTTATGAAAATGTTCCTTTTTAGAAAGAGGGGATTTTTCTCTCGTTTTGCTGCTTCCTTTCTATCTAAATTATGTTTCGGTCTGGTCATTTTATACGAGCCGGATTCTCTGAGCATTTAAAATTTGATATCAAGAGCATCACTTTGAATTGATTGAAGGAAAGAAGTAAGAAAGGAAAGTAAATTAAATATTCACCGGCCTAAAAGATAGAAGGCAGGCCAAAATTGAGGATTTCACGGCTCCTCAGCGCCCAGCAGCGGGTGCTCGAGTCCTCTTTTCCCGCTTCCCGCTGGTTTCGAGCTTCCTTCAAATCGCCACTTCCCGCTCTGCTGCAATTTCCCTCGTGCTTTTATTCCTTTCGACGGCGAATGAACGCTTGAGGGTTCCCTTCCATCCCCATCTATCTCCGCGTCGATCGGTCGAAGAACACTAAATGTCGATGCATCGCGCTACTGTCTTCTCAATCGCATCGGATCGCTGTTCCAGCAACTCATGACGGACGCAACGGAAGGAGACCAGTCCAGCACCGCGACCGAGGAGAGCGATTCCGACGGGCCTGTGAGAGCCAGAAATCCCTCCTAGTTCCACGTTCTCTCACAGGGGAGATATTTAAACCCCATCGGACTTGGTGTTTATTTTGATTTTTTTAAAGCCCCATTCCCACTTTGATCTCGGAACAGACATCGTTTTTTCAGATTGTTTATCAACTTTGTTGCCTCCTAGTGCTGTAATTTGAGGGTGACTTAATTGTGATCACAAGCTTGAACTGTGTTTCGGCTCCGGTGATTCCGTTGTGATATTAGGAATGAACCAATAAAGCATTCTTCCCAAATTAACGGCTCTTTTCTCCAGAATATAGGAGCTGCAAACTTCAGCGGACAATGCTTGAAGAAGAAAAAACACGTATGGGCGATCGGATAAATCGCTAATGACGGACTAGAAAGACTACCTTCGAGGCATATATATTTTGAAAATGCCAGCCGTATCAAACTAAAGATGAAAATGAAGCAGAGAAATCACACGGACAAGAATGAAATACCGTAAAGAGGACTTAACGGTAGGAGTTCCCGCGCAAAATGGCAACAGCCGAAGAAATCAGAACAAAATTTGTTTTATAGAATGCCAGAAGCTTTTCCCAGTGAAAATCGCCTGCCCCCAGGTGTGGCACAGCACAAATAGCTGTTTTTTGTAATTATTACTTTGGTTTCTCGTATAATAGGATATGATGGCATGTCTCGGTTTCTTCAATCGAATTCGGGGCATGTGATGAATAATGGACATGTCGCGTAGTTGTTCCTGCATTTATCTAAATAAGGCGTTTTATAACTCCGAGGCGGAGACTTTTAGCGATTGATAGCCTATTACAAAGGAGCTCAGGGAGGTACAAAGTACCTTTCACTCACTCGATTATTCAATAATTCTTTTCAATCTCTTTCACAAATGACCGCGATCCATTCTTGTCCCTCTCTCTTCTCAGAAAGAGAGAGAGAGAGAGGGAGTGGGAGGGGGTGGACAAGTGAGTCAGTAATCTCTTAATATACCGGGTGGCCCAAAATAAATTTTTTTTTCCAGCGGTCGTGGATGTCGGATCCATTCCGGAGAACGGGAGAGAGAACCATTGTACGTTGCCTTTCTTTTGGGGCGTCCGAGTGGTGTTACGATGAACACTTCTCGGTACTTTCTGCACCTGTTCATTTCTTAGTGGCATCATGAATGCACGTGTTCATGCAAAGATGTCTCGCTGACATCATCTGCTCAAATTCAGTAATCCATAAAAGTGTCCTGTCCTGCCAGTATTTTGAACTTGAAGTCTGTGCAGATGCTTTCTTCTCTGGACTTAACTGTATATTCGGTTGCCAAAAGAAATTCTTCTGGCAACCGAATGCAGAAGTTCTGGATCTTTACAAACGAAACTTGATGAACCCAAATATTTAATCTACTTATTTACTTATTGTGGGTCTTCTCCTTTAGCGTGATAGTGAGTAATGAGAGTTGGAAGAGCTACATATTCGGCACTATATTGAGCAAAACAATATTTGTACTTCTTGATTTCCTCTGCTATTTTCAGCAAACGTAGCAAGTGCTGCCGTTCTACTTCGTGACAACGCCATCACGGAATTGACAGAAGACGTGTTTCGCCCCATGCTGGAGGTCATGTCCTCGGGGACTGGGTACTTGTCCGTACTTGGTGGGTGATGCCCTCGTTTCCGCCGCGTTCCCTCGCGAGTCCCGATCTTGGAATTCCGTCGTTTCCGCCTCCGCTCGCGTCACATTTTTTTTTGCCCTAACGTATTTAGCTGGTGTGGAAAGATGAAACTTGGTACATAACTACCTATTGGGATGCTACGTGCAGAAAAATTCAGACTTTGGAAGTAAATGCCCCAGGGGCACACATTTCAAAGGGAGATATTTTCAAATAATTATTCTGCATCAGTTAAACTGGTGAACATGGAAAGCTGAAATTTTCCATGAATGTGACGACTAAAACAAGGAATTATAGAAAAGAATATTAAGCCTCGATACATCCCCTGGGGAATTTTTTCGAAGGACGATGTTTAAAAAAAAATTTGTCGTTGCGAATTGGACAGAAATGGAAAGGCCTCCCCCGAGCCACTCCCTCAATCCAGGGCTTGACAGCGTCTCGGCTCGGGGGAGGCCGTCCGTGTTCCAGCAAGACTCTGCTCCCTCTCACACAGCCAGCACGACCCAGGAGTGGCTGGCCGAAAATTTTCACGATCATGTTACCCCTAACATTTGGCCTCCTAGCTCTCCTGATTTAAACCCCCTGATTTCCGTACAATGGGTTAATAACCCGACTCTCTTACCCCTAAATTTAGGGGACTTTTGGAGACCTTTTGCTATGTGTATGTAAGAACATGTGTACCAAATTCTATGAAAATATATTTGGTTTTTCTACTAAATATTTTTGTTTCCCTCAAAGTCAAATTTTGTTCTCAAATAGCTGACGCACCCTGTATATGCCTCTAAAGCATCGAGTTCCGGCATATGGGTCATTCCACGTTAAACTATCCAAATTTCGTGAAGTTTATTGCAGCACAGATTGAGATTTATCAGCAAAGTTCATCCTATTGGGATATATGAGAACCTAGTGAACCCGAAAATGTGAACATTCTGAAGCAAAAGGTCTCCAAAAGTCCCCTAAATTTAGGGGTAAGAGAGTCGGGTTATTAACCCATTGTACGGAAAAACATCTCACAAAGCTGCTCAAGCCAGACAACTGATGAAAAGCTCACTTTGAAAATTTTAATCAAGAAATTACACAGATATTTTAATATCTGGCAGTGCTTTCTTTTCTTTCACATTTGCCTAATTGTGAAAGCTTTGACCTTTCGTTTGGTTTCAGACACTGGTGTGATTCTATAATATAGAAAATTTCAATCATTTCAATTAATTAATTCATTCATTCGATCACTTCAATTTTCATTTTTCTCATGATGAGAATTAATTTAAATTAGGTCTACACTGAAATTCTGAATGCTAAAAATTTGATTGAAATTCAGCAGCTTCAGCAAATCTCACCAAGAAGAGTATAATGAAAAAGATTACAGACACCACAACTAAATTTAGTAAAACCAAAGAGGAGGAAAGAGCTCTCTCTTCCTCCTCTTTTAAACTCCCTTTATTTCCTCTATCTCTTTCCTCTGAGAGGGGGTAAACAGCACCCTCCCCTGCCTACTCCCTCTCCATAGACAAACCAATAGCGCAAAATATCACGAGCCGCCGCTGGTCTTCAGGGTGTCTCGTGAAGACGGAGGGACACGTTGGGGAGATCCCCAGGTCCTCTCCGTGCTTTGAGAGACCTATCTGCAACCTGGGCGTGGAGGACACGAAGTACAAGTGCATAACCTTGACGGGAGATGTCTCCCGTCAAGATTTGAACTGATCTCCAGCTTCTGACCTTTTCTATCACTAATATCTACTTGAATGGTTCAATGGAAAAGTAATTATTTCCGTACCGTGCAGCAGGAAAGCTGACTCGAAGGAAATAGAAAAATTTGAGGTCCTCATTTTTTAAATCCTGATATACTGTATTATCAGCCATGATGTCTGATCGTCGTGTTTGGGTTCCACCTTACCAGTTGGGGATCTGAGGCCACGCTCCATATTAGGAAAAATAAGATCTACATACCTAGGTATCCAGGGTGTCCATAAAGTGACCACCTATGAGCAACTTTTTATTATAGACCCCAAAGTAGCCATTTTTTACTTTTGTAGACTGACAACGTACCGACCAAGGAATAGTGTCACATTTTTTCTCTTTCCACTTTGGCACGGCCGAGAATTAATTTCCTACATCTAGAGTTTTATTTATATTTTATTCACATGAATGGAGAAGAAATTCAGACGACGATTCAAGGAAAATTTTGCCGCTCGACCTTATTGCAACAGCTTCTTGAAGTTATCACGGTTGACTAATAGAAAGTTTTGGGAATTCAAAATGGTACAAATTATGAATTTCCTCGACAAATGGGCCCAATGTGTCGACCGCCAATTTCCAGACATTTCTGAGTCCTAACGTTGTCGGCCACATCCATGAGAACTCTATTACTTTTCTGGCACATGTCACGAGAGACATTCCCCTTCAAGTTGTTTCAGATCTGCGGGCTAGTCCTCGTAAACAATACCTTCTAAGTAGCCCCGGAATAAAAAAATTAAAAAAGAAACACAAGGGGTGGCCATCTGCCCTGGCTGACAATTCGGAATGCTACACTCCATGTCTGAACTTGTAACTGATCCAAGGGTTTGGAAAGTTTGGTTTGGAAAGTTTGATTAAGTTGCCTATATGTAGTCGCTTTATGGACACCGTCAGATGAGCCTTCTATCTCGCTGTTTTCCAAGAAAGGGAGTCCCTCCCTTTAACATTAATCTCCGATGCGTCCATAACTTAGTACTTGAAAGCCCTAGAAGGTGAAGTGAAGAAATCTCTGAACTCAAAGCGTTGTCTTGCACGGCAATAAATGAAATCGTTTCAGAGAGAAAGCACGTCCTTGAGATGTCGATTTCCCTACGAAATCCGCACGAGTGATGACAAACACTTCCTACATCACTCCGCAAACTTCGTTCCCTATGAATTTACTGGTGGTTCAGGACTTAAAAATTGCTCATTATGTTCTGATGGGTAATGGCACTGAACTACGACTACGTCTTTTATGAGCTGGTTCACGATCCCATCAACTAGAAACTGAACCAACAAGTGAGAGATCGGAGTGTTTAGTGGCTTGTGGATCGCTGCCTACCCCAGGAACAATGATTTTTATGCAACTAAATCTCAAACTTTGGACAACACTTGGCATGGAAGAACTCTTACACATGCGTGGAACTTTCAAGAAAGCTCTTCCTACGCTTGTCAGCGAACTTTAGCGCCAGCGAAATGAGTAAAATCCCAAGACTGAATAATGGCTGTCTAATAGATGCCTAGGGCACGGGGCCTACTCACCGAAGGAAGGTGTCCACAAAACGAAGTCTACTTCGCCAAGGTTTTCACGTAAAAAGACAAAATCACCCAACACAAACCTCGAGTCTTTAATTACTACAGGTGTGGCGATCAGCCTCAATCTGAGGGGATTTTGATTCCTACCCTCAGGAGGAAAAGCAGTCTCACGAATCCAGTTTGAATCCAAAATTAGGGACGAAAACTCAAGATTAAAAATTGGAAGATTTTTAATGCATCTTCAGTTGGCCAGAATCCCAGGAAATTGCAGCATTATGCCGTTAAAAAAGAGTGCTCCCAAAGTGGGATGCGAAGGCAACCGGCAACACGGAATCGAAGATGCCGCCGTGACGATTTTCCTTAGTCCTTCACAAATATGGGGCCGAAGAAGACAGGTGAGGAGTTCTCAGCTCTTCTTTTCACAAGCTTTATTCATTTCGTTCATGGAGCTTATTACTATCGGAGAGTTTGCAGATACAGGCGATTAAGCCTGTCGTTGCACATAAATGGGGGGTCGATCATGAGAGTGGGCCTAGGCCCTTACTTGGTCCAATCTAATATAAGCTAGGCTAACGTTAGGCGCGTGTGCTTGCTAGGCCGTTACACCGAGCACTAGCAATGAATAGGCTTTTTCTTTAGGGAGGGGTTGACCAAAGTAGTCTTGAGCTTCCGTTGAACTATATATATTAGGCCTACCGGCCTAACAGTGAAATTAAATATTCGTGAATGCTTTCCCTTCTAACTTTTGTAGGTAAGGGTGAAAAGAAGGCAGGTGGTAAGGCCGAGGCAGAGGCCGCCCCGGCCGAGACCAAAGAAAAGGAAAAGAAGAAGCCTGAGAAGAAGGAGGAGAAAGAAAAGGACAAGGAGAAAGATAAGGAGAAGCCAAGAGTTCCCAGACCTGCTGCTGCAAAGAGGGAGCGTGGCCCACCTCGAGAGAAGAAGGAAAAGGTAGCAGGAGCAGAACGGGCTGTGGAGCGAGCCAGAAAGATTCAGAAGAAGGTCATCAAAGGCCCTCATGGAACCAAGGTCAGGAAGGTCAGGACCAAGGTCCGCTTCTACCGGCCAAGGACGCTCAAGCTTCCACGAAACCCTAAATATCCCAGAAAATCTCACCATGCTCGCAACAAGTGAGTAGATTTTGCTTTTTCAGTCATTTTAGTTTGTAGGCTTTGGCTCTGACTGTTGGCCTTGTTAGGGACACTTTCACAAAGTTGATGGGGCAAAGGTGGAAACTTTGTATTGAAGTATAGAAAGGAGCAAAGCTAAAGTTAAATATTATGAAGATGGAAGGTAAGTGCCAGATAGGCCTTTGTCTGCTATTAGGAATATTTGCTTTTTTGAAGATTCAGAATTATCTTTCAGTTATATTTCCATTCAGTGGAGAATTCATTCCATTAATGCACCAATTTGTACTTAACTATACTGCAGATGGTGTTCCATTCTAATCAATGGGCACAGTAGCACTTGTTACCTTTACCCTCTTTGTATTCCTCTCTGAGAGTACCAACACAAGCAAAATTTGGCTGACTTTTTCCTCTCACAACACAGAGCCGCTCCAGCAAATTTGAAGCTCCATCTTCCCAGGGTTGTGGAGATCGTTGAATCTCGTTTTTGGAAGATGCGAATTTCATTCAATTTTCTTTGTTTTTCTTCTCCCCTCCTGGATAGCCACATCTGGGATGCTTTCAGGGGAAAGAGACCAACCATGAGAAAGATGATGACTTGTAGCTGGTGAAAAGTGCCCTTTTTTTGCTTGCAATGCATCATCACGCCTTTAAAAACGAAATTAGCTGTCGTTCATTTAGGCTTGGAGCACTAGTTCTGATCCCACCCCCCAGTGTTGCTGGATATCATGTTGGAGTTTTGTCAGATTCGTCACATCTTCAGCTTTAATATCCTTGTCTGGATCCTTTTATTTAATGTAGGAGGCATTATTTTGTGGAATTCATGGGATGAGCTGTCATTAAAACTGGTTTGCAATGGCTGATGGATTTTGTGTAATATGATATATCTTATCTGGATAGTCCTAAATTAACATGATGGTGGCCAGCTTGTATATCATGCTTTCTAGAAGCATTTTCTTCTTGGAACAAGTCAAAACAGTTTGAGGAACTCTGGATAGACCTAATGTTCCTTAACTGCACCGAAGTGGTCCATGAAACTTAAAAAAGACCTAAAATCAGTCTTATATTGCATGTTTTAGCTGTTAAATAGGCCTGTGATTGGCCTGTCATTGCACATCCTCAGCAAAGTGTCTAGAAGACAAAGTAAGAATCCTTAAAGGCTTAATTGGTCCATAGGTCAAGGATTGAGTTTCTTTTGAATGAATAAAGGTAGGCATCAGCCTAATGCAAGTGAGTTCCAAAGAAAACGGGAAAGGGGGGGGGGGAGGGGTTGAAGGTGAGGTTTAAAAGTGGAATACCTTTGAAAATTATTTTCACATTTCTACACTTCCATGTTTGAATGAACACCTCACTGTTGGACACTGCCCCTGAGTTTAGGTACAAGAAATCTTCACAGTGGAAAGGAGGTGTTACATATCCAATGTGTGTATCAAAGTGGTGTTCTTACCCTTTTGTGTGGAGGGATATGGAAACTCTTAAATCTTGGATGGTGTTGTAAAAGTACTTGTATTAATGGGGAGAGTACTCCTAGTTTTCCTCTTGATAGTAAGGTGCATAGAGTGTCATGACCATTTACTCAGGGCTGTAGGAAGCAAAAAACTTTTTCGGAATTGTATATGGGAGCATTCCTCCATGTTCTAAACATCTTGATCCTGTACACTTTCATAACATTGGCCTTTTTCTTTGTTTCACTCCACACTCACGACTGAAGATATAGTTCCTTCATGGATCGGTATATAAAATTATGCATTTTTAGTACCAAAATGATCTATGGAAATTTCATGCAAGGAGAAGGCTTTGATTACATTTTATTTGCCAAACCAAGTAATGTCCTGGAAATTTTACTGGCCTTTGAAGTTTTCCTATGCTTCCTCCACACCTCCATGTACTACTAGCAGCAATAAGGTTTTGTAGTTTAATTGCCCATTCATGTATGTATGAATTACTTTATTGGAAGTGGAATTTTGTGCCAATTAATGTGTTTTTTTTATACATAGAATGGATGCATGGAGCATCATCAAACACCCACTGACAACTGAGTCTGCAATGAAGAAAATTGAAGACAACAATACCTTGGTCTTCATCACTCACATCAGGGCTAACAAGCATCACATAAAGGCTGCCGTGAAGAAGCTGTATGACATCGATGCAGCTAAGGTCAACACGCTCATCAGGTGAGATTTTACCCTCTGGCATCATATAATTTAAAAAATAGATGCTAAGTGACTGAAAGCAATCTTGGGGTCTGCATTAGACTCATAGATTCATCAAGTCTCAATTAGGTGATAGTGGGAATATTTTTTAGGCAATTTTCTTGACCCTGATGCATCACGAATGCATATCCAAGATTTGTAATTGTTTTGCTGACTCTTGAGAGTCAGAAGGAGAAAAAGATGAAGTCGCAGTGGTCTTGTCTCATCAGGATGGCATGAGTTAGATGGGTCAATTCTACTTCAAGCATAAAGTGAGAAACCATTACAATGACTTGTTGATGAAATCATGTCTCATAGAAATCATGAGTATTACTCCAAACCCCAATAAAACTAGCCATATAATATTAAATCCTTTTTTCACAAAAGTTGTTAAATTGTTTGAAAAGGATTCTCATCACTTCTGGCTTGGGGCATTTGTTTGATTATACTTAACAGTACTGCTTTCATGTACTACATGATTACATTTTGAAAAAACAAAAACACCCAGGATAAGGTAGGCCATATGGAGCACATATTTCTCACCAAGTGCAGCCTACATTCAGTCTAGGCCCATCATGCTGCAAGCATGAAACCTGCATCTAGAGGCCGAAGCATAATGCTAACTTTAGGCCTCTGTACATTTAGTTGAAGCAGGCCTAATTTGAGCATTTATTTGAGAAAAGTTCAACAGGATACTTAGATTCATTGGGAATGCAGCTGCCTTTCACCCATGCTCTCTCATTCACTGCCATTGTGCTCCTGGTGGCATCTTCTTGCATGTGTACCACCTGGCTATGTGCTTTCAAGTTTTTGAGTTCTGTTTCCCAGAAAAAAAATGCAGATCCCATGAGCAACTGTTTCTTTAGTTCCTGCGCCTGCTACAAAATGCTGGAAAGTTGAAGTAGGGCTGGGCTTCCCAACCCTGGGGTCACAAACCAGCTGCTAAATGCCAAGTTATGTTTTACTTTGCTATTCTAGTGAATAGGTGAAGGAACTTGTCAAACTAATGCCAGTACTGAATCATGAGTTTTGGGGTCACACACAAAATAGGTTTGGAAGCCCTGTATTAGGTGGGATGCAATGTGTGTTGATCATCCAAAAATAAAAGAAAATATTTAAAATATCAAGAAGCTGGTAAGTCCTGAGTGCAGTTTCACCAGTTTTATGAAAAACACCTGAATCAGCCAACATCTGACCTCCAATATATGGGTCGGTATAGCCCTACTTAAAATATCATCTGAATAGGAATAGAGTGGCATGTCAGACCTTTTTGTCCATAGCTGTTCTGAAACACCTGATTTATTATTATGGGTTTATTTTGTTTCAGGCCTGATGGGAAGAAGAAGGCATATGTGAGGCTTGCACCAGACTATGATGCCCTGGACATTGCCAACAGGATAGGGATCATCTAAGTGAGAATTAAGTCTCAAATGGTGAAATTCCTTCATTGTTGGTCTGCTGGTCCCTGTCTGAGAATTGAAATATATGAATGAAGGTTGTTTCTCCAAAATAAGGCTCTTATTTTCTTGGCATTCCTGGGACTTTTAAAATGATCTAGGAAGAATGCAAACACAGATGCCAAAGAATGTCTCCATTGCATCGCATGAACTACCAAAATAAACTTTGGTCTGAACAGATAAGTCAGAACACTACTACGGGTTTAAACCAGTACATTCCCCCTCCTCCTTTAATAAACACCCCGAAAACATATCCATCTTACGTTCTTTTTGTTAAGGAACAATTTGAATCTGCTTGCCACTGAAAAATGAGTTGAAGAAATTGATAAGACATGAAGTGTATTGCAAGAAAACTGATTGATTGGTTTGCAGAAGGCATTCTATTTAATTGGAAATGTCAAGATGCAAAGTATTTTTTCATGGCCTCAATAAGCTTTTACCTTGAATAGCAAAAGTTCTCAAGCCTACTTGTGATTAAGAGAATGCTCATCCCTAGACGTTCCTTTTTTAAGTGCAGAGAAAATTTCAACACTAGTACAATAACTGCACATGCATACCCCATACATGGACTTAGTATCCCTGATTGAGTTGGGACAGTAGCTATGATGCTTCTTGTTCAAGTGTTACAACATATAGTGTCTTAATTCTCAGGTAAACATATCCCTCTGTTAAGCAGAACCCATGGATAGCCTCAAATCCAGCTCTTTCCCACCTTAGCCTCGCTGGAATCTGATGACCTAATCAAGACTGAGGTGTTTTCCATTCACTTTTCTATTACATGTATACTCCATACCAGTTTGTTTTCATTGATGCATGAAATTGATAAAATATAAAATTAAATCTCTACTTGGGTAGTACATGCCACCGACCCCAAGCTTGATCCTTTCTCTCTGACAACCTTTTTGGTATATACAGGGTGGGCCAAAAGTTTTTGCCCCTGTATAAAAATGTGAATATCTCCTGAACGGTTTGGGCTACAGAGTCGAAAAATAAACTAAAAGAAAGTTCATTTCATCCTCTTTCTGAAAATGTATGGTTTTAGGTTCCTACATTCATTTGGAGATGAGTCATGGCCGTTTGAAAAAAACATACAGAAAAAAAAGTTGCCAAAACGAACCTATACCGTGCCGCCCACGGAAATCATCCTCAGCAGCTGGCTTCAAGGTCGTGTGCGCCATCATTTTCTTCCTTCCTAATTGCTCCCTACCTTCTTTCCCTTCTTCATAATGTGAAGGATGAAAATTTGAAGACTTTGATGCTTGATTTGGATAACTGACCAGCAGAAGATCATGACGAAGTTAAACGGCCTCCGGTGGTCTACTCCGCATGTTGTGCTGAGTGCTTGTCTTTGCAGTGTTAATATTTTTTTTTTTTTACCTTTTTTTTTAACTCTTATTCAGAAACCTTTATAGGGAAAATTGGTCACAGTGTCAATGTTTTCTGGCGTCCTTGCTCTTCTGGGACAGCCTGTGACTGGAAGACGTTCAGCACTGCTAGTTTTACGCAGTTTTCGCAAGATATTGCACAGTCTTTTTTTTCTTCATTTTCGATAGGGATATTCACGCAAGATTTGGTTCAAGGTAAATCCTTTTTCTTCACGAAGCGACCGGATTAAAACTCTATCACTCTCAGTTAGAACACGGTTTGTACCCATTTTCCCTGTAAGGGCTTCTGAATAAGAGGTAAAAAAAAGGTGAATTAAAAAAATTAACACTGCAAAGACGAGCACTCAGCACAACACGCCGAGTAGACCACCGGAGGTCGTTTAACTTTTGTCACGAGCTTCTGCTGGTCGGTTATCCAAATCAAGCATCAAAGTCTTCAAATTTTCATCCTTCACATTATGAAGAAGGGAAAGAAGGTAGGGAGCAATTAGGAAGGAAGAAAATGACGGCGCACGCGACCTTGAAGCCAGCTGCTGAGGATGATTTCCGTGGGCGGCACGGTATAGGTTCGTTTTGGCAACTTTTTTTTCGGTATGTTTTTTTCAAACGGCCATGACTCATCTCCAAATGAATGTAGGAACCTAAAACCATACATTTTCAGAAAGAGGATGAAATGAACTTTCTTTTAGTTTATTTTTCGACTCTGTAGCCCAAACCGTTCAGGAGATATTCACATTTTTATACAGGGGCAAAAACTTTTGGCCCACCCTGTATAGAAATTACTTTTCAGAAATATTGTTTCACCATGACCTGTAGTTCTACTTGAAGAAATTTCCTCTTCAAAGGGAATATCTTGAATGGCTGCAGATAAAAACAAAGACAGCTCCACAGGATGTGCAGCAGTTGAAATTCATGAGTTTGAAAATGCCAGGGTACTAAAAAGGCATGGAAGAAGCAGCAGCAAGGCAGACTGCAATGCTCTAAGTTAGCAGGTAAGTGTACTTTTACTGGTGACTCCTTGTCATTGAGCTGCCCTTTCATTTTCTGGGGAAAAGCACATTTTGGTGTCTGTTTGACATCAACCACACCTATTAAGGTTTCAGAATTGTGTTACAGATTTCTATTCTCAGTGCAATAAGTGGGGAGATTCCATTTCTAGAGACTAGCTTACATTTGTCTAGATTTACTGGTCTACTTTCAATCTAAAGCTAACATCCATGAAGAGAAGGGCTTCATTTTCTTATAATGCTGCTTCTGGTTACAGCTTAAATCTTTCAAACTGAATCTTTTCTCAGTCTGCTCAACAAAAAGGAAGGAATTTCATTGATGGGGCATATTACCAAAAGGTGGTAGGAGACCCATCTCAGGAAAAATTAGAGAAAGGCCAAATGATTAAACACATCCAATCCCACTGCATAGCACAGTGGTACTACAACTGCTGACTGTGAATTTCTATCCTCTTGATCAATGGCTGTTTTGAGATACTGCATTCTTCCCTCCAAGAAGGAATAGTCTGACAAAATAGCTTTAAAGAGTTGTTTGGGGTGGTTCCAACTCCCTCACCCATTCTGAATGAATCTCCCTCATTTTATTTTGGCTGCCATTCCCCCCCACCATGATTAGCTGAACCCCTTCAGTGGCAGGCTTTCTGATGCTATCAGAAAAGCCTTAGAAATTCTCAAGTATATCTGTGAAAGGGTTAATGGCAATGACCCACATAGGAATACCCTTGACTAGCATCTATTGGACAGTGGCTGTTCACTCCTGCATAGCAATATACTTCTGGATTGCCCATTCCTCTAAGATGTTATGAAATTGGACCTTCCATCTAACAGGCAGAGCACCCTTGGTATGGAACATGAACATGTGCTTCAGAGCAACTGAGTTGTTTCTTCATGAAAACTGAGATGCACTGGTTGCTTTTTTGCAATAAGATTTAACTTAGTGCAAATGAGAAAAAGGAACTGTAACAGTTTTTTTTTTCATGGGAATTCCAATTCAGTAACTTTATTACCCATGTCACCATCCACCCCTTTTTGCACATAATAAAAAAAAGTAGTTCCTCCTGAATGAAATTCCTTGCCTTTCAATAGGACTCCAGCATAGAAAAATATCCAAAGAAGTCACTTCAGTTGACATTTTAACCACTTTTTTTTCCCCCACAACAATCTTGGAAAAATATCAAACAGGTGGTAAGTGATCCATTGAATGGAGACAAGTTAAGTTAAATCTGCTAAAGCAACAACTCTATCACTTTTTCTAATGATTATAACAGCAACTCTCAGTGGCAAGGGGGCAACCATTTGGATGGAATCTTGCAAGGAAACAACCTCGAGTCTTCCACTTCTGGTATGCTTTCGATGACCTGTCAAGGCTCTCTCTGTCAACAGGTGTGGGCTGATGCAAACTTACTAGTCCCTTCTTGCAAATGAAGATGTGAGAATTATTCTTTAAAAGTGTCTGCAGGCCGCCATGCTGTAGCTTGAGTTCTCGCAAGGTGTCACTGCTCAAGCCTTCCACTAAGTCAGGAAGCTGAATCTGACCACCTGTATTCCAATCACCTTCCACACTGCTATGCTTGAGAATCTGAAGGAGGACTTCCTTCAGTATCCTCTCGCTGATGTTCTGTGGGATCTTCGTGCAATTCCGCACTGGAGACGGTTCGCGGACGTGAAAACCTTTGGGGCTATGGGAACAGCCTTCAACGAACTGAGAGATTCGTTGAAGACGTTGAATCTGCTCTGCAGCAGTTGTTGGTCGAGGAATCCCAACGAGGGCCAGACGCTTGGTAGATGGGATACGAAGACGATCTTGCTTCACGTCAAAGCCACAAACCTTGAGAATGCATGCAGACTGGGATTCAACTTTTGAGATTCTACCAAAGGTTGTTAAATTAACAATAGCAAAGAACTTCAGTCACAGAATTCTCTTATTCATACATAATATACTTCCTTGGACCTTTGCTTTTTCCAAGAATTGTTGAGGAGAAGGGGAAAGAACTGGTGCTGTACCAATGCCCACATTTGGCCCATGGACTGGTGGTTAATTATGATCTCATACCCATTTCCTTCATTTGGCACCTTCTTACAAGAGAATTGCCAATGGCAGCTTGCAAACTTACTGATGGCCAATAGCAGTGAAGGTGTCATATTGGCTGCCAATAAAAGCAGCTGCTGATGCATCAAAACAGCCCTAGAGAAAACAAAAACTGAGAAAAAGATGGGGGAAAATATGTATTACATGATTTTCAATCCAGACTACCAATGGGGCATTGTACTTTATATTGAAAGAATACTGTAAGAATAAGAACTGGAAGAATACTTCGGATTATGGAATGTGGTGGTGTACTTTATTAATGTGTAAATATGAATTGCCATATTTACCTCTAGTGTCACATAAAGCACTAACCAGTCACTGCCTCCTGCCACTGGAAGTGATATTTAAAATAAACAAACTATATTCGTTCTTTTGGCTGCAAATAAATGGAACTCAACACAGACAGAAAACAAAAACAACCATACCTGGCAGAGTTCCATGAGAAAGTCAAGGTAGTCGGCATAGATAGACTTCCTAGAGTGCCGTCTCTGAAACTTCCCAGAAAAGGCATAGGGACAGCATGGCATGAGGAAGAACCTTGTAGTAGGGGAACTATGTGCCGCAAGGACAGGGATCCATGGTGTCAACTCATCACTGTGGTTACCAATCAACCAGTCCTCAGAATATGTTGAATCAGGCATAATTGCTGACTCCTAAAAAAATTGGTGCCAAAAATGGGAATGGTTATACTGGATATGGAATTGCTTGAGTGTCTGAACTAAAATAAAATTAAAGTTAAAGCAAGTGAATTGCATTTATAGTACATTGGGACTAATCTGATGTTAGAGGTGCTTCAATCAATAGAATAAAGGATCAAAATCAATAAAGCATTATGATAAATATGATAAATATGGATGAATGTCATGTAAGGGATATGAAATCACATCAAAGACCTCCATAACCAACAAAGTGAAGACCAAGAAGAGTTTGAATTGGAGAAAAAAAAAACACAGCCACAGTGCCTCCAAGAGGCACTGTGGCTGCACTCCACTGAAAAATCATCAAGAATCCATGTGCTAAATATATAGGAATTGGATATAGAGACAACCAAATCTGATCATAAGTGGTCTGAAACTCACAATGAGATGTGTGGAAGGGAAGAGCTGCCAGGACTTGCGAGCCCTGATATCAACCCCCTTGCCAGGGAACCCCTCGCAAGTGAGTACATGAGTGAGCAATCCGTTCCCACAGCCTAGATCCACAAATGAGGGTGTGCAATCTGCTCCATCCTTCTTCCACAAAGAGATGAGGTATGCTGCTATACCAACATCTTCATGGACATGCTTCCCTGGATCTGTATGTTCTGCCCAATTCTAGAGATGCCATTACAGAATGTCTGATCAAGTAGGTAGGTATTATATGGGTACAAAAAAGCAATTCAGTGATATCCTTGCCTTAGATTAAAGGATAATTCTAGTAGGATTTGATTATTCACAAGTTTTCCATGAAAATAACCTCCCAACCATGAATGGGATTCATAATCCTAATCAGGAAACCACCCAGAAAACTGTTAGGATCACAAACTGACAATCTATTTAGAAAATATCAGCACAAACTTTGATCCTGGAATGCAAGGTACAGATGATAAAACGTGACAAAAGAAAAAACTGTCACAAGGATGTTAAATAATCTCAGCATAAAATAAGGAATGCAATGAAACATAAGGAAAACATAAAAACAACATGGACTCTTTTTTTACTTCCATGTGTCAAGATTTTATCCAATTGGTATAGATGCATGTAAATCAATACAGAGATGTGGCATGCATAAGTATCCTCCCTCTCCCAATGAGACATGCAAAAGTCATATGTCAAGTATTTTGGGCTGAAGAGCACATATGGAATCTCCTATTCATACCTGCACATAGAAGGAAGCATATTTGGTCTTGATCCTTTCATAAACCTGTACATACTTCCTGAGATCCACCAATGCCAAAGATGTGGGTCTGGATGTAACTTCCTCCTGAGTCCATTTCTGGAGTTTAGGGAGAAGTTTCTCTTGCAACCATTTCTGTGACACAGGGCACAAGGGGAAGGGAAATGTCAGCGAAATAGCTCCATCAGTCCCAAGGTGGAAAGCGTAGGGCACCCGAGGGGAAATGACAGGGCCTTCGCGCTTTTCTTGAAGAGGGACAAAGGAAACTTCCAAGAATGGTGGCTCTGAAAAAAAAAAAGCCAAGCTTTACAAATAGTACCACCAATAGTAACAGCCACCAAAGTACTTTCACTGGACATGGGAAAGCATGCTAATGACTATTCATGAAACTGCTATGGGGTAGCTATTTTAAATTAACCCTTTTATAAGTGAGTTTTTAATAGTGATGCAATGATGTTTTATCAGTTATCAGTATCAGCCGATATTGAGTGAAACAAATATATCGGCCCGATATGATATTGAAGGTCTGACAATGAAATAACTAGACTGACAACACTGTCCAGAAAATTCTCATTCAACATATCTACATGACACTACCAGTCAAGAGATGAAGGGAAAAAACCTAACAGTATTCTCTTTTTCAAGCAAAAGTACCTCCAAGATTTTTTTTTTCCACTTGCTGCATTATTTCATTCATCTCTTCAGACATTCAACTTACAATGTAAGATCATTTTCCTCTTTTTATTCGTTTTGACTTTCCTCTCCCCTGCCTTCCAATCGCCCTAGAATGTGCTTCTTCCTTCTCACCCAAAATGACAACTTCATAGAGTTTCCCTTGATGAGTGCCTTTTGGCACTAACTCTCTCAGAACAGCCACAGTTTCTTCCAGGAGTTCAGGTAAAGGGCCATTCATCCAATCTTGCACTCTCCATTGCTCCAACTCTCGAACAGTTTGAGGGTCAGGGACGACAAGTGTCTTCTCCTCCACCACTGCAATCAGGGACAGGCCTTCCTTGCGGGTCAGGAGTGCACGTCCGAGGACGACCGAGCCAACGACACGTGCATTCACAACATGAGGTTTCTCGAGCCACACCTTCACTCCATTCAACAGGGAAGTGTTGGCAGAGGCTTGCCTATCTTCCATGAGTGCAGCACTGAAGACACTCCACTGTTGACCTACAACTTCACATACTGGAAAAAATATGACAGACAATCAAACTTTAAAATCTTGCACACCTCCATCTAAAAATGAGAGGAGCAGGAAGGTTGCTGACATCCAGGCCATACAACACACAGAAGATGAATATAGTAAAACTGTTATACTGATACCAGGTGCCAACATACCTTTTTAACCACCCATTTTGCATCTTCTACTGCTTTAATGATGATTTGCTGAATTCGCTCTGGGTCATCCTCATCAATGTGCTGCTGGAATCCCTGAAATGTAAAAGATCATAGCATTTTCAAATATCAGACAAATGTAGTGTGTTTGGATTAGGTCCACAAAATCATATAGGTCTACTAGTGCTGTACATAGATGTTAAATTCAGAATTAAGGATTCTGAAGTTAAAAAATACCTGGGTAGGTACTTCTTGAGGTGTTCCACTTTCATGCATATTACTAGATGAGACAAGGTGGGAGAAATCAAGAAGACAATAGGACAATTCCTTCATTCTGGAGAATATTTGGCAAGACAATTCACTGAATACAGCCAGGTTCAAGTACATAGAGATGTCACAAAGGATGTGTTAACTCTGATATATACTGAGGCTGAATAAAAGCTCCTTCCAAGTTTTGAATTACAGATGAGCAAAAGCAATATTTAGCATCTTCTTTTTCCTACCCTGACCATGTAAGCTAATCAGTATCTACTAAAGCAATCATCAGCAGAGAATAGGGTCTTTCTGCAACAATTTGCATAACTAAAGTGCAGAACCACTTATTAAGGCCAAAAAATTTGATAAATCAATAGAACATGATAGCAAGGTACAAAATACTCTGTGTTACATTCGCATCTACATCTCACTGTAGCTCATACTGACAGCTGATAGAAAGGTCGAATACATGAAAACAGTCATGAGCTAGAATAAAACTTTATAATTTATTAGTTGGAGATCTATGGGTCAAATATTCAATGCTTTCAAGGGAATCCCCACTGAATAGTTCAAAATCAAGTCATTTAAGTCAACTGCAGAAGTCATTATCGTCAAGGGTAGCACATTAACCCTTGACCTTTGGTTCAACTGATTCTATGAAGCTGGGCAACCCAAGAGCATGATTTATTTTTTTTTTTACATTTAGTATATGGCTTGGCTGCTTCTTTTGCTGGTAGTTTGAGGTCTGCTCACACGACTTGAGGGTGGTAAGATGACATTTTACAAGGAAATGTTGTGATGGTCAGAGTCAAACCCATGCCCTCCACTCCCTTTCATGCACAGTTGAGGCCTGCTTCCATTCAGCTACATATATGTGAAACATTACACCTAACAGGTCAGGTGTATGTCTTCCAAAGCCTTAGGGTAAATTGGGAGCTCCAGCAAAACTCAAATTCTTCCAAATTGTTTGGTCTAGGAATAGGCCTAAGCCTGATGTTCAAAATCTGCAATACGCACAGGTTGAAACACAAACTAGGCATAATCTTGCTATGGCTCCATGACGAAAATAGAACGAAACCCCTCTCGGCAATTTCTAGCAAATTGCACAATGGTGAGTAATGTTAAGTAACTGCCCGTCGCAAAAAGCCAAGCTCACCTGCCTCACGTGATTCTTGTAATAAAGTCGATGTTTTTCGGGAAGGCGTTCGCATTCGCGTAAGAGATATTTATACAGATGGAGGCTGGAGCGGATGTGAGCGTGAAGAGGCATTCCCATCTCCTTTTCAATCCGCGTGGCACGTGGTGGTCCCTTGAGGCGTAAGAGCCCTCTGCGCAGGGTTGCCACATGTTGGAGTGCGACCGCTGTTTCATCGCCGTCGGTATCGAGCTCCTCGTCGACGTTCGGAAGAAAAACTTGCCGAGTCCGAGAAGAAAACGAAGAAACACGCCGACTGGTATTGTAACTGCGATGGTGAAAGAATGAAGTTGAGGCAGATCTAGTAGCAAGTGTTTCGCCTTTGTGGCAGCCCCAGAGGTTAAAAGGGAATCCTCATATCTAGTCGAGCCGTGACTGTGTTTGGCCGTACCTCCTCATCGTGTCTCGTGAAATTTCGTCATCTTGCACGAGAAAATGATTCAGTCTGATTGTCATCACTTTTACTAAGAGTCGATTCACACGAAAAACGCATGAAAACACTGACCCCGGTTATGAGGTTTAAGAGCTCGTAAGCTCGGAAAAAATGCTCACCTCAGTTTCAGGAGCCTTGAGTTAGGGGCGAAGAGAGCCAGGGCCCTGTCGCAAAATCCGCAAAACTGCAATAAGAAGGGTCGCATTTCGGGCGGAGCCGACCAGGTTTCTGAGGTCATACCTGTTATGGTATACGGGATTCGCCCCAAGCGATGAGTGTTGCCAATGGGTCAAGCTCGGGAATGTCAGCTTGGTGAGGATTCAATTTTCCTCCGATTGGAAATTTTACTGACTTACTTTCCACTTGTCAAGTTGGCTGAAATGTCATTTAAAATGTAAAGATCCCGAAAAGTGTGACTCAGACCACATCGTCCAAGCGGACTGAGCTCTCCTTCCGCGTTTCAAGTCTGCTGGTCTGATGACGTCACTGACACGAACCTCCACCCTTCGATGACGTCACAGCAGCTTGTGAGTTCCTTCGTTCGTCCCTTGAAGGAAGTAGCCATTTCCATCGCGATTTACGACTTGCGCGGTTTCAGATCCCCTTTCCATCCCAAAATCCAAAAGGAAATGGACGGAAACCTTCCCCATTGGTCCTGAGAACTTCGAAAAACACGAAGTGAATCTAACATTGTGCGAAGTCGATTTGAAATGTGGACTGAGTGCTGTTACACCAGGAGGACTTATCCCTGCGCTCAGATCGCTAATGAACTTGTTATATATTCAATATGTTGTTATATTTTCTCTTCGGTGTGCTTCTCTTGAGAGAATGGGGTGAAGAACGTTAATTTGAGTATTTGTCGTATACAGTAGAGTATAGGTCGTATATAGGAACGCGTGTCTCCTAATATATTCCTTCTCCGTTTCTTCAGATATGCAATAATTATGTTCTATTAGTTCTTGGTGCTTCACCAAGTGCTTCACCATGAGTAAGTTCCGAACCAATATTGCAATGCCCTCAACTTAGCAATGTAGCAGAAAACCTGGACTGGAAGAAAAAAAAAAAAACAAACAAGAAATTGTGTTTAGTCGGGAGGTGCGAATCGAAGACGCCCATCAGGCTGGCTTCCGGTGACAGCAGAGGGAGGTCAGATCGATGAGAATCAGTCAGGGTGCATGCGGACCATGCCGCCAAGGAGCTGCTGTGCCTCTTTGCTGCCACGCTTCTCTCGTACGTTGCCAAGTCCTTTCAGTCCCGATATATATTCGGTTTCTATCTTAAATGCTGCCAGTATCAGTCTCCACATTAGTTGCCATGATTACTATTGTTTTCCAGTTGAGTTCGATTATTTTTCGCTTAACTCGGACATAGGATAGATAGGATGCTCCTTGTACATGAGAATTACCTCTAATCCCATGAACGAGGGTCCCAGTCAAGTAAAAGAAGATTGTCTGACCCAAATGAAAAGTGCTATATGGTGAACGTATCTTGAGGTCTCCAGTTCTCATGCAAGTGTCTCATGAATTAAATCTGTGGTTGTAGTATTTGGAAATTGATTTAGTGGCGACAGCATCAAAGGAAACTACAAAGTCCCAGTATCTGGAAGACTCGATCCCATCTAAAAGGAAGGGTCGGAGAAGAGCACAAAACTCTCTAAGCTGTCTAAAAATAGGATAAGTCCTATCTGGAAGCACGACGAGGTGTCTAGGGCGAGTTGAAAGATGGGTCGAGACCACAAAATCTGGATTTCCACAGCCCTCATCTCGCAGAGGAATGCCAACTGATGCCGAAAAATCCCTATTTTCAGGTTTATTAAAACGGACCTTCGCCAGCATGAGGGGTTTGTCTCCCTTCGGGGCTCTCCGTGACGCCTTGGCCACCCTCCCACCAGAGACGAGCTTACACGCCATCCTGCCCAAGAGCGTCTCGCTGAGGATGACGTCACCACGCACGCGCATGCGACAGCAGCAGTTAGGTTGGGAAAAAGAGCGACTTCGTGAAATTATCCTATACCGCCCCACAAGGAATCCAAGCTTACAATCGGGGATGGCCAGGGAATTGCCAAGCACAAACTGCGAACTGTGTCGCCCAGGAAATAGGGTATAGGAACACTCCATCTTGGAAGGACAAGCTGAGAGCCATGACCTCTTCACTGGGCTGGTTCGAGCCTTTACATGTCTTCATCAGAGAAACCACCCAAACCTTAGTCTCAACCTCCTATTAAAGAGACGACTCATGGTCTTTGTCTCTCTCTTCCTCCATAGAAATGCCTGCAAAACTGTAAGAGAAATGTGACTCAAACGAGGTCCAGACTCAAGGTCAGGACTCAAAAAACGGCCTCCGAAACAGATTCCCTTCAAAACCTACCTCTCACAACCTGCTTCTTCCCACGTTCGCAACACAAAGTCAAGCAGGAAAACCAAGCCAAATGAGGCGAGGTCGTCCAAGAAGCCTTTTCCGACTTTTCGAATGTTACAGCTGCTCTCACGTTGATTCCGACATCCAGTTGCCATCTGCCACAACCATCTGTCGCCTCAGAAGTCAGACACATCTGCTCCTCAAAAGATGGCAATATTCAAGAGTCTAGGCCAGGGGTGTCAAACATACGGCCCGCGGGCCGGATCCGGCCCGCAGAGGTGGTTCATCCGGCCCGCCGTCTGCTTCTGAAATTTTCCCCATGGATTGAGTGTCAGCACAAATTTAAGTGAAATTTTATGGGTGCGGCCCGCAAGCATCTGCAGGGTAAGGAATGCGGCCCGCCAAGGTGGTTCATCCGGCCCGCCGTCTGCTTCTGAAATTTTCCGCATGGATTGAGTGTCAGCACAAATTTAAGTGAAATTTTATGGGTGCGGCCCGCAAGCATCTGCAGGGTAAGGAATGCGGCCCGCCGACCGATTTGAGTTTGACACCCCTGGTCTAGGCGATGCAAATTCTCGGGAGACTTCTGTCATTTCAGCGGAAATTTCTCTCGCAAAGAAAAAAAATTAGAGACTGCTGTGGAAGACCAGTCAATATTATTTGGAACAGGTGTCCCAAAAGACAGTACAAAGAGGCAAGTCCTTCAAAAGTCACATCTTCCGTTCCAATTCCCAGTCGTCAAAAAGACAAGGCTCCAGTCTCAGGAACAAATCTTCAGAAAGACGATAATCCACTCCTAGGGACAAATGTTCCTCCAGGCAAAGCTCCAGTCCCTAGAACATGCGCTCTAAAGGGAAGGCCCAAGACTCAGGCTCCGAGTAAAGGACAAGGTTTCAACCCCTGGTGTGACTGCCTCCAGCATCAATCCGCCGACTCCGAAAGGGAAACCATTGTCGAAGATCCCTTAAGTGAACGAACCCCTGCCCCACTCCCAAAACCAACCACCATCCCCAACTTTGGCAGTCTCCCATGTCAGATCTCCCACGTGAAACACTCCAAGCCTCGAGATGCTTTTTCCCACACCAGATAGACACGACAGACACGGAGGAGGTGATAGACAACCTTGTCAAACTGTCGAGGAAGTACGTCTACCACGCTTCATCCTGGATCCCTTTCAAAAGCAGGGCCAAGTGGAGCTACGCTGCCACAAAGGTCAGAGGAGTTGCCTTCTTCACCGCTAATTCCCAATTTCTTGCGTCCCCTTGAGTGATTTTCTTTCAGCATATAGCTTTATATTACTCATAATTTTTTAGACGATTGCAGCTTAGTGCATTCCGGTCTTTCTTGTCTCAGCGAAAGTAACTGCAACCCAGAAAGCTGTAAGAAATTCATGCTAAACGATATTGTGACCACATCTTGACTAAAACTGAATCTCCGAACGCTGTTATAATATTCATGTGAGGAAGCCCCAATAGAAAAGGGTCATTTCTCGCCCATGTCCCATCCGATGCCGTTTCCATTAGGGGAGACTCGACGGCATGAACTCATGCAGTCCGAGATTGTTTTCGCTGATCAATACTTCTGCTTGATATGAGCTGTTACCAGATCTTTTTCCTTTCGTCTTTCGGGATCAATAGCGGTGGATCTGAGGCCTGCTGCAATTGCCATCTCCTCGCGCTGCTTCTTTGCTCCTCTTGCCTCTTTCCCTTAATAGGGATGTGCCGCTGGAACGACACCTATCTCTGTATTCACTCCCTATCATTCATTTGTCCATAAACTGTATTTACCACTCGTAAAAAGAAAACATTATCCCATTGTAAAACTCATTCACCATTCAAAAAATAAAATAACCCGGCGATACCTGCGGTGGGGGCTGAAACAGATATAATTTGCTGCATGATCAAGGGATTCTGCGGAGGATCACATTCTCAAGGAGAATGACTCAAATGCATTGAAACCCAAGAGGACCTTGGAAGCGTCTCAGACGCTTATCGCCTTGGGTGCAAGAAACAAATGTACTTCGGAATCATAATTTACGGGAAGGATTTGTGATGGACTAGTTCCTACCATATCGCTAAGTATACATCATTCCACTTCTTCCTGAGAGAGATGCTAGCAGCAGGAGCCGAGAGGAGAAGCCACTGAAAAATGCTGGACCTCATCCGTCTGTCTGATTTTAGGCTTCCACTCAAGGACACTTGAGTGACCTTCACACCAAGGGTGAAAGAGAAGCAGATATATGCGAGGCAATCTGAACTACTCTTCTCCTTGTTCCTCGGGCACAAATGTACGTGGAAGCCGAAAGCTTGAAAGGCGAGTGAGATCCGGCATTCAGGTTGCCACTGGCACCACCCTTAGGAAAACCAGGAAAGACGTCTTAGTCGCATGATAGGAGAATCGTAGCGTTATGCTTCCGGTTGCGTGGTCCAGTCGAGGTTGTCCGTTTTGCGCTGCGTCTGACTTTCGGCCAGTTCTCGCATGCGTTCGCCTTCGATGGTGTCCTTGATCCAAGAGGCGTAGTGTCTGACTTCGGTGTAGACCCCGGGGATCTTCGGAGTGGCACAACCGTAGCCGAAGGCCACGACCCCAACCAAAATCGGCTCTCCGTCTTTGGCCATCTGGCACACCAGCGGTCCTCCACTGTCCCCCTGCATTGTCCCCCAAATTTTTTTTGGTAAAGCAAAATAAAAATTGCCAAATGGAAATCAGTAAAATTAATCGGAATGGAGAAACAAACGCTCCATTTTCTATCAGGAAATGTTTCACGAACATGATTGCCTGCACTATATAGATTTGAAACACTCAATATAACTGATTGATCCGAAATCCTAGAAAGCAATGCGTTTGCCATTGTGATAAGCACCAGATACACTTATGAAGTACCTGGCAAGCATCCGTATTCTCCCCGCCGGCGCATAGCATCGTGGACTGAAATGGTTCTCCCCAATAGATTTTGCTGCATCTGGAGTCGTTCCAGAGTGCGACCGTGGCCTTCATGAGGCTCTTGGGCCCTCGTCCGCGCTCTTCCGTCTTCCCGAAGCCGTAAACAGAGCAATTTTCTGCGCAAGAGATTTTTGGTTGTAGAAAGGTTCACAGATACAGAGTCTTCGCTCGACTTTCTGGACAACCAGTTAAAATTTCCTCCAACCCCAATGGCATATACTGTAGATGGTGTATGATGATGAATGATTTACCGCTTTCCAGCGCCGAATAGTCGAAATCAGAATCCGGGATCATGATGGGCCAAATTGGGGCTTCTGTGTTCAAGTCTTCTCCCACTGCCACGGGTTTGTCCAATTTCGCTAACCCGATGTCATCATGTTTTTGCTTCCTGCAAAGGGTGTGAACATCGCTGCAGCTTCAGTATGATGACGTGACTGACTACTCTGGATCTTTGAAGGGTAGTTATTCCCTTGTTTTCTTCTTGTATACAGTATTCCGAATGTTTCAAATAATTTGAACAATATGATTCCGAGATTAGGAAAAAAAAACAATCAACAGCATTTAATGCATTTTCTGTCTGCGAGAAACTTTATGGGAAAAAGTATACGATACAATTGCATATCCTTTCTCCGGAAGTCAAACCAATAGCCACTTGTACGCATAAAGTATCTTCTAGCAACCCAACATTTTGGAAAAAGCTACTCGATCAGGTTACGACAGGAAGAGGTCAGAACTCACGGATCGTAGGCAGGGTGGACGAAGGTTTTCACCACCGAGCGCAGAAGCTGCCCGTTTGTGAAGGGATGCTGCTTCCCGAGTCCCATGAAGGTGTTTTTAAAGTCGATGGAGTCCACGCAGTGGGCGGCCGTGAGGACCCACTGGGGGTGGATCAAGGCGCCGCCGCAGGTGGGCGTGAGGACGAACCCGTCCTTCGGTTCGGGTACGTGTCGTTTGTCGTACACTTTCCACGCCTCGAATAAGGGGACGTTATGCGCTATCCCCACGTGGAAGCCATGCTCCTCTGTAGGTAAAGGGAAGCTCTTCAAAACTCGGAATGCGAAATGCATGAGACAAGGAGATGAAAGGGAGGGAGACGGAACTGGTTGAATTACGCCCTGTTGTGAATATTCTTGAGTGGATACTTTAAGAGGTGGTAATGATGTGATGCTGAGCAATTTGGTGATAGACAGATACAGGGCCCCTCTACCCTGATGACGACTGGTCTTTGCGATCAAGTTAAGTCGAAATAGCCTTTAGCCTCTATTTATTATGGTCGGGATGCCAAATGTCACTGTCATCGATTTTTCTAGCTGTGGTGGAATAACAAAGTGGGAACAGTCCAACAAGAAAAAAAAAGGACAGTGTGCCACGTGGCTCCCTCTTTTCTAAAGGATAGCTGTGAAATTAATATGCCATCCAGTGAAAACGCTTACAATTTCCCCCCATTCTCTCCCTCGCTCTCTCACCAGGCATTGACTCGACTCCGTTGACCACCGGGGTGGACTGGACCAGGGAAGGAGACACCATGATCCACAGGATCCACGCAGACAGCTGGAACTGGAACATCCTTAGGATCGATGTGGACAAGAGGAAAATCCTTTACACAGAGATGTCCACAGTGAGATAGAACGTCCTTCCCGCTTGCTCGCTATTCCAAGTCTGCAGCCCTTCCGAATGGCATTCCACCCAGCAGACTCCTCGGTTTTGGAGGCCAGAACACACCGGGCGTCCCAGAATGATTGCATACCTATTGCGTCTGGGTTCCAAATGCAGCGAGTCTTTGCGATAATTTTCATTTCATGCTTAAAATAATAAGTGGAAGTGCATGCAGTATATAACGTTAATAATTTTTCTAATATGATCATCTACCATCAAGTCTGATGGTTTTAAATAAGAATTAAATAAGAACTCGTATGCAAACTGAACACATGGCACGTCTGAAATTCTGACCAGCGGTCATCAAAAACTAAGCAGTCGATGAACCTTGAACTTGGTGGGGAAAAAGTTCATTTAAGTGTTTCAGAAAATCGGCAAGGGGATGAAACGCGATGAGACACCCGGTATGACGCGTGCACCTGTGGAGCAACGCACATCCGCGCAAGGTCTGAGAGAACGGAAAAGTAAGTCGGTAGTGACGTGGATGTGACGTGCGAACGTGGGTTTCCATCGAGTTTTGCATCTGCCTTCTGCAGACTCGGGGTGTAGATTATCCTCACAAACTCTGGTCGTCGATTAGTGGCCGTCGATCCAGGATATGCTTGGAAAATAAAAAAAAAATGCAAGCGTCGATATCACTTGGATGGGAAACGAGAGCTCGGTTAACTGCGGGATACCATTTACGTTTGCACTTTCATTTGAAAACTATCATCTCAGTTTGAATACTTTTGCTTTAAACGAGTCTGTAACGTATCCTTTAAAAAAAAATACGAGGCGAGAGCCATTTTCTAGAAAGAAATTTGCATGATAGTATATGAGGAAGATATATTATTTTACTGCTGTATACTCACAGAGCGCCAAAACAGTAGCACTGCTTGAGATTCTGAAGTAAAAAAATGTTACGGTACTTTAGCTAAAGTGTTTTTTTCGCAGTGTCAGTCATTGATGATTTTAGCTTTTCTCACGCTGTTCCAGACCTTTTTCCTTCTTTTCACAGAGAGGCTCAGTCAAAAAATTTTCGTATGGCTATTGTCGGCCCATAGCAGGGGAGGTTGGCTTTTCGGCGAAAGATAAAGCCAAGTCACCCTTGTGCCGTAGTTGTCCGATCTGTAGCCCCTTCAGTGGGCGGCACATGACAGCAGTGGCTAATGTGCAGCTGGTCCAACACGGAAGCCTCGAAGTTGAGCCACATAGAAGCTCAGGCAGACCATTCGCGCAATAGGAACGCAGAAGGTTCCAAAAACTGGCGGGTATTTATCATAGTATATATCTATTCACTCCTTAATTCTACTGAAATGAGTCCCTTGTGCATCGAATTTTCGCGCCTATTCCGTTCTTATTCAAACACCTTCCGTTAAAATTCAATTTCCTCTTATTCCTCTCTCAGAGCTCCTGCAGGAAAGAAATGGGGCATGTTTCCTCCTCTCAAAACACAGAAACACTCCGGCTTATTTGAAGCTCTAGCTCTCCGGTGTTGGGCAGAACACCCAATCTCGGTTTTTTAATATGCGAATTTTATTTCTTTTTTTCTGTCACCCATTTGTTTCAAATTTGACCCGAGAAGCCATATCACCCCTATTATTGAGGAAATATGGACAGATATTCGGTGGAATGTGGCCACTCCTCAGATAAAAAACTCAAGATTTTTTTAATGAAGGTATGAAAAGTAATGAAAAGATTGAGTACCTGGAAAACATTTCAAATGAGACTAGACAGCTGAAATGTACAATATTAACTGCATTGAGGACGAGCAAAGAAGTAGGTATTATCATGAACGATGCATGCTTCTTGAGTCCAAGACCCAAATAGCAATTGTACATCCGACGTACGTCCAGTTTTAATCTTTACGTCCTCATACTTGTTCATACATACGGTGGACAGCCGGTCAACAATAGAATTAGCGTTGATTGATTGCAATTATGCATTCCATTGCAAAGGACACGCATTCGATTCCATGAGACAAGGCAATGTTTATTTATTTCTTTTTTTTTAGTTTGTCCGCCAGACATGCGATGGAAGTACGTGAGAGGTGTCAAGGTGGAAATCCTGTGAACATCCGTTGAAGGATTAGTGAAGGAGTTGAGGCCTACCAACTGACTTGCCATCTGGCAATTCCTCCGATAAAAAAGTAGTTCCCACATAATAAGCGAGGTCACGTCTTAGTTGCCGATATGTGTGTATCGATTCCCCTGAAGCTACTAGAAGTCCACAGACGGTTTCATGTTGCCCTCGATCTTTTCCCACGTATAAATAAAGGGGAGGAATTCGACATCGCTAATGCTTTCGTCGAGAGTGGTAACCTAACATTAGGAGTCTTCCAGCAATTCTTGCCCTATGAATGCAGCAAAGACGGTTCACCTTATAACAATACTCTAGGGGCTGCTATGAGAAGCAGAATTGCAAAGCTTTTTGCTACAAGCAGCAATGTACATGATTGGGAAGCTGAGTCAAAAGACTTTGAGTCTTAAGAGGAGTGATCACCCAGAGCTCCAAGGGAACAAGCATTTCAAACCTCTTGTAAGGTCGAGTTCAGACTCGTGCTGTACAGCAGCGGCAAAATCCAATCCAACACGGGCATGTTGCATTGGACAGTATGCAGTTGCAGCATCCAGCATGCTGTACAGCACGATTATGAACTTGGCCTAACTCTTCCGGCTAAAAGAGATAAGACAAGATAGTCGCTTATCTCGAGGCAAGAAGAAGGTATCATCGAGAGTGTCTCTTTTTACGATCTAATTCTTTGTTTTTAGTAATGCAAGGAAGCAAAGTGAGAAAAAGACCTTCCAGTGAGTTCAGCCACTTTTTTTTCCAAATTGGCCTCTTGTCTCATGCTGTCATGGATGGTTAGTCAGCCTTGGGAGCTCCATCTAGATCTCCCGGGGATTATGCTTTCCTTTCGTCATGCAAGCGATGACTGCCTCCAATGACCTCAAAACTTCATCGAGTTGGATTGATAAGCATTACGGCACGACACCATAATGACTTTTTCGAGTCAGCTTACATTCTCTTTACCTTAACACATTTCATCGTCTTTAACATGGGAGTAGATACTCTTCACAGATGTCATATCCCACGACTTTCAGGTTAACATGGGATAGACAGTCATTCTGTATGATTGCCCGAAAGCCGATCGGGATGAGAGACCATGCATTGCATATCCATGCATACGAGATACCTCGTACATGGACGCCAATTCGTCATCAGCAGGATGGGCAGGTGGGATAACAGTGACATATACATCCATCAGTCCCACTTTCCCACGGCGCTGTTAGATGTACTGTAAACATAATAAGCTACCTGGTAGCTGTTTCCCTACAGGTTTTCCCTACAGTAGTCAGCTTTATAGGCGTGAAGAAACTGGCAAGCACAAACTCCACGATAAACAGAATGGGATTCAATGCCATGTCGGCATGGCGACCCGCCTTGTTAGTTCATCATAGGTAGATTAGTATTCAGCTTTATAGGGAGTAAAGAACTTGCTAATACAATTCTACAGTATGTGGAATGGTAATTGGTTGATAGGGAAAACATACACGGTTAGACCTAGGAGATATGAAAAGCTAACTCCACGTTTCGTTCTTCGATGTTATTGCTAATAAATGTAGTTATTTTTATCGACGGCGTAAATTTTCATTAAACCCTTCATAGCATTAAACCCTTAAACCCTTTTCCTGAAGATGTCCAACCTAAAAAGTAATCTCTCTCAAGCTTGGTTTTGTTTTGAGCAATGAAATGAATTCACATTGTCTTTAAAAAGCTTACATTAAAAAGACTTACATTTTTCGAGTCACGTCTCTTACTGGAATAAAACAGTTATTGAAGATGAAAGTTTGTCAAATTTGGCAAAATGCAAAAGAAGTTATAAAAATACGACAATAAATAGAGAGAAGGATTTTAAAAATATTTGAGAGAACTTTGAAACAAATTATAATTGCATGATTTAAACGCTTAAAATGAGACTTTTGACTTTTTTCTGGCTTAAGTTGCTCCATGAAGAAGTGAAGGGAGGGGGGGGGGAGTTCCCTTTGCTCTCGCTCTCGGAAATGAGTGAAAGAGCATTTGTCACTTCCTATGCCCTTGATCCTTACTTCCAGATTGCATCCATGCGTCACGACAGATCAATATGCGCTACGCAAACAACCCAATGAAAGTAGCTCATCGGCGATCAGCATCGGATTGCGTTCCTAGGACCTGCCCAGGTGGACTGCTCGATATGTCTCTTACACGTGAAGAGGAACCAGCGCGATATGATCCAGGATATCTGGATGTGGGTCTACTCGTATCGATTAGCCAAGCCTCCACCCAGGCGCAGGTAGGCCTCCATAACGTGTGACCCCCTTCGTGCCGATGCACTGTGCACCTGGACACCGCACCGCGCTTCTCCCGTGCTTTTCAGTTTCCTCGAACGTTCTCCAGTGCTGACATTTCAAACATTCGGTCGAACTCATCATCGTGTCTGTGATACGGCTTGACATCTCGCTCGAGAACGATGCAGGCGGGAGGGACGCTGTCCTCCATGCGGCCGCTGGACGACGAGGGAAGGCCCCTCGGGTTCCTCATGCGGCCCAAACGCCCTTTCCCCTACAATATCTTGCCCAAGGTAAACGTCCAGGATTGACTGCATGGTCCGGTCGTGAATAATTTATGCGAGAGAGAATTGCGCCCAGATCGGTGGTTTGGGAAGGGCCCACGCATGGTTTCCACATGCTCTTATATGTATGTTTGATTGCGGAGGCTTCCAACCACTTCCCTCGGTCGATGACTTCGAAAGAAAGAAGGGAGAATACATGGGATGCACTTTAGAGCTGCATGTGTACGGAATGAAGGTTCAGGTGATTCTTTTCAGTGGATTTCGTTAACCGTGATTTAATTTCACCCTTCCCTCGGGGGACATCCTTCTGAATTCCTCTTCTTTACGTGCATCTTGAGTCCTTTCTAGCTGTCTTAAGAAAGTGAGGCATCGCAAATGTAGGTAGTACAGTAATACCTCGCAATACCCTCGGTTTTTCAGGAACTCATCCCGAGCGTATTGCGAGGTATTACTGTAATGCGGTATTGTGACATGATGCCGTAATACCACGAAGCTATGGTTCCACTCCTCGAGTTTTCATTTCTGAACGAAGGAGCTGTCGAGGGAATAACGGGTTATATATGGGAATATGAGTCAAGACACGGTTACTGCATTATTCATGCCCTCGGATACCCATTCCACACGAAACCACTCTCTTTTTTTTTTCTCTGGGAGGCTTATCGACGAATTCATACCGTCACCTTGGTATCGCATGGCCCGTATGGACTACACATACGCCCCTTGTTCTCGGACTCCTTATTCAGTGCAGTCCTTCTTGCCTTTCGTGCAGCGTGTGTTCTGTGGCTTCTTAGCATCTCTCAGATTTTTACCTGAATTTTTTTTTCCTGCTCAAATCTGTCTTTCGGTTCCAGAATCTTGTCGGATTTTTCAAAATGTCTGCTTTCCGACTTTTTCCTCAGGCTTTTTTTAAGTCTCCTTTTCAGAATTTCTGTTTTCTTACGTTTGTCGACCTATGTCAGCCCTTCTCCTTTAGTCCTAAAAATCTTTGTTTTCAAGTTCTTTCTTGCCATTCGCCATCAAAATGTCGGCCTCTAAGTATCCTGCCATCCGTGTCATGAGAAAGGTCGTCCTCTCTCTTTTTGGTTCAACGACACCCCCCCCACTCCCTCCACGCAGGTTATGCAGTCGGAGAATGTCCACGCCCAAATGAAGCATGTCCAGCGCGTGTCAGCTGGAAGTGGTGGGCTCCCGTATGCTCCTCCGTGCCGGCATGCCCGCGGCGAGACCCAAGCGGGACCACTCCAAGTCCTCGGACGAGGAACGAGACGTAAGGCGCCGCCGATACATTAGGAGTCACGATCAGCACTCTCAAGTAGCTGCTGTTTCGTCGATACGCGAAGGGTCAATGACCTGTAATCTGGCTTCATTATCCTATAGACCTAGGGAGAGTAGAACTTATTCCCTAGCGAGAAGTTCTCTCTTGAGATCAATGGCAAACAAGAGGAAATAGCCAGGAACGATGACGTCATTCTGACGTCATAATCTTGCGAAGAAACGTGATGCTGCCGGTCTCGTGTCGTTCGCTAGCCTTTCCATAAAGTAAAGCCGGTCGAGCAAGAGTTCGATCAATCTGACTCTTCATTTCGGCAATCTGTATCGGGAGGTTTTTGCAAGAAGGCTTTTCGCTAAATTGCAAAGAAATAATCGAGTTCTTGGAAGTCCTCGTCAAAATTAACCCATTAGGGCGTGAATTTTTTTGTCCAATGATTCCGAAATCGCGATTAGTTTTGGCTGCAAAGTCAAGATTTATTTTTAGCATGCAATGTCTTACATCCTACTCAATACTACAGTACTACATTTCAAAGGATACTCAGCAATTTAAATTGAGCAGAATGAAGGGTTTGATTTTCGAAGTGCATTCATGGATGTCAATTGCTATTTTTATGTTCTAATAACGTATAAAAAATATATACATCTGAGGCATCGATTTACATTCTGGTGTGGAGTACTGCATTGTCATCCGACATTCGTTGAAGGGGAAGCGTTCGTCTGCTTGTGTACACTCCAGTTCTCATGAAAATTGCAAACACGAATGTACGGATATCATGCATATTTCCTCATGTTGACTGGTGTGAGGCGCTCCCCGGTAACAACGACAGGACCGCACCCCTTTACTCTTGGAACGGAATCTCCTGTCTTTTTGGGGAACAAAAATCCCAGCGATTTTCGCGAGCGTCACTCGCCTGACGCAAATCCGAGCACGGGGGAGGGACTCAGATTTCACTCGTGACGTTGATCGTGTTATTCGGTTGCTAGTTGACTCAGCCGGCGAGCAGCAGGGGGAAGGAGGAGGTGATCAAAGTGGACCTGCCCCGCCCCGAAGCCATCGACCCGCATCAGCGGGTGGTGCAGCTGGAGCGGGCGATCGTCTACTTGCAGGAGCAACACGCGGCGCTTCTCCGAGGCCTCCAGGACGAAATCGAGGAGCTGAAGCGAAGAAATAAAGGTCAGCTGTGGGGAGGCGTTGCGTGCTTATTCGTCACGCGATGGCGGTGGATCGATCCGCATCGAATATTTGGTCGATCGTGTCAAGTTTTCGGCTCCATTATCGCCTAGACTTGCAGACGAGGCTCGTCTTCGCCACGGGAGGCACCGGCTGGGAGGAGAAGCCCAAAGACGCGGAGCGGATCAAGGAATTACAGGCGGAACTCGATAAGAGACAGGGCGAACTGGAAGACGCCACGTCCAGGAACAATTACCTGCAGAAGCTCATCAACGACCTCAAGAGGTACTCATCATAAACGTTCCCCAAGGGGGTTAGAAAGCTAAACGCGACAAGGAAATTAAAATGCGTTGCCATGCCGGACGATGGACGTTAAAGAAAAGCACGTGAAACATGAAGAAAGTCAAATATGAGATGCCATATCTCTCTCGGCCGTGCCAGGCAACTCCTTGCTTCATGTCTGCTACGCGCGGCTCCAGATGCTCTTGCGATTGAGGTCACGATTGCAGCTAATATTTTCATGCAGCCTTGAATGTCAGGTAATGAGTACTACAAGAATTGGCCCAATATACAGGGTGGCGCAAAAGTCACCCCCCCCTCCCTCCCCCATAGAGAAGATAATATCCGAGTGTCCAAAATCAGCGTCAGTGAGTCCAGACATCATGTATTCGTCGAATCGAAAAGTGCTTCGAAGTTAATGGCCCACAATTTGAACATTTACTTTATTAAACAAAAAATAAATTCTTACAATTATTATTATTCAAAATCCCTAAAGGGAGCGACTTTTGCCCTGCCGAGTATTGTGCTACTAAGGATGGATGTCCCGGGAATTTATTACCAACCAAAATCAGAGGATGGCCAAATTAAAGGCGACAAATGAAAAGATGAAAGGGGAAGCTTTTTGGTAGCATTCTTTGCAAAATTCAACACTGGCTAAAATGGGTGAATATGCTTTATGGCTGTATGGGCTCGAAGATGAGGAAGCGGTCTTTAACACGTTGGCGACAATGCGTCCTGATGCCAGGATGCAGA